AAAGTTGAGTCATTTGGTGAAGTTGAGATTTTTGACTTCTGAAGTGATTATCTCACTCAAATAATCATGTTAGTCAAACCAACATCACAACTTGAATCATTTGTTGAAGTTCAATTAGGTCTAGTGATTTGCGTATCTGAGTGAAATAAGCATGTTAGTCAAAACAGAATAAAAAAAAACGAAGTCATTTGGTGAAGGTGAGATTTTTGACCTCTGATGTGCTTTATCACTGAAATAAGCATTTTAGTCATACCAGCATCAAAAGTTGAGTGTTTGGGTGAAGTTGCAATTTTGGTCTTCTAATATGCTTATCTAACTGAAATAAGCACGTTAGTCAAAACAACATGAAAAATTGATTCATTTCGTGAAGTTCAGGTATATGTCTATGGAAGTCCGGAAGTCGCTGAAATAAGCATTTTAATCCAACTGGCATCAGTAATTAAGTCATTTGATGAAGTTGAGAGTTTTGAATTATGAAGTGCTTATCTCACTCAAATAAGCATGTTTGTCAAACAAACATCTCAACTTGAGTCATTTTGTGAAGTTCAGATTTTGGACTTCAGAAGTGCTTAACTCGCTGAAAGAAGCATTTTAATCCAACCAGTATCAAAAGCTGTGCCATTTGGTGAAGTTGAGATTTTAGCCTTCTGGAGTGGTTAACTCGCTGAAATAAGCATGTTAGTCAAACGAACATAAAAAATGGGTCATTTGGTGAAGTTCAGATTTTTGGCTTCTCAGGTGCTTATCTTGCTGAAATAAGCATTTTAATTTAACCAGCACCAAAAGTTAGGTCTTCTGGTGAAGGTGAGGTTTTAGTCTTCTGATATGCATTTCAAGCTGAACTAAGCACGTTATTCAAAACAATACCAAAAGTTGAGTCATTTGGTGAAGCTGAGCCTTGCGATTTCTGAAGTGCTTATCTCTCTGCAATAAGCATGTTAGTTAAAACAACATCAGTACTTGAGTCATTTGGTGAAGGTGAGATTTTGGTCTCCTGAAGATCTTAACTCGCTGAAATAAGCATTTTATTCCAACCAGCATCAAAAGTTGAGTCATTTGGTGAAGGTGAGATGTTTGAATTATGGAGTGCTTATCTCAGTCAAATGAGCATGTTAGTCAAACAAACATCTAAACATGACTCAATTTGTGAGGATCAGATTTTGGACTTCAGAAGTGCTTAACTTGCTGAAAGAAGCATTTTAACGCAACCAGCATCAAAAGCTGAGTCATTTGGTGAAGTTGAGAGTTTAGCCTTCTGAAGTGCTTAACTTGCTGAAATAAGTATTTTAATCCAAACAGCATCAAAAGCTGAGTCATTTCGTGAAGTTGAGAGTTCAGCCTGCAGAAGTGCTTGCCTCGCGGAAAGAAATATTTTAATCCAACAAAAGCTGAGTCATTTGGTGAAGTTAAGGTTTTAGCCTTCTGAAGTGCTTAACTCGCTGAAATAAACATGTTAGTCAAAACAGCATCAAAAGTTGAGTCACTTGGTGAAGTTGAGATTATGATCTTCAGACGTGCTTATCTCAATGAATTAAGCATGTCATTCAAACCAACATCAAAAACTAACTCATTTGGTGAATTTCAGTTATTGGTCTTCTGATGTACTTATCTGAGTGATTTGAGCATGTTAGTCAAAACACCATCAAAAAT